CAGATGAGTAACATCCATTTTGTGTTAGTGACAGGGCACATAAAGAGGTTATGTCACTGAATTTGCAGATCAAAACCAACTGTGGCTCACGTTCTGCTTTTGTACGAAAATAGAAGGCGGAGCTCAAACTCAAAATCTGAAAGGTCACTGTGATCAGATGAAGGGTTTGGGCTTCTTTCTGACCAATGGCCACAAGAAGCATGGCAGCAGGAGTTCTTAACCTTGACAATCATAGACAAGCCAATAAGAAGAAACACGTACTAAACAATGTGTTAGACAAGTAAGGGATAAGAAAATAGCATTATGGAATACTTTTATTTTCTGTCAGCAATTCTTCGTAGTTCTTCTTTGTTTTAAAGATACAATGTTCTTCCATTACAAAAGAAAGAAGCAGAAAATGCCGATGTGTGTACTGTATACTCTGACCTTAATCACCACTACTATTCCTTTTCCTACTTCAGTAGTTTAATCAGAGCCTGAATACAGAGCCCCTGTGGCACTTTCCATAATGATGTTAAGCACCATCTTGCTATCCCTTCCCCCTCATCCAAAATTCATAGAGATCTCCATAAATTATTATCATGATCCTTAAGTGGGAGCGATAAAAATGTTGAGGCAAAGATTTCAATCTGAGGTCACACAATAACCCATTTGGCAGCTCTGACATATAAAAACCAAAAGAAAGGAGACTGGGATACCTAACACGAATTTGATCACTAGCAACAAACCTCTAAAACTGAAGTTCAGAATAGAACAACCATAAAATTGAAGGAATATTGTGTTTTACTTAAACTCCTGGAGACAGACTTGCCTAACTACCCTCATGGAGTACTACTATTCAAATTAAGATTTGTGTCAACCCAAGAGACAGACAAATCAACTGCCAGTTTCCAGTGTTTTTCCACTTCAAGTTCACCATCTCATTTTTCAAACTAGGTACCCTCCGAAGGCAAATTATTTTTACTTGTGCTTCAAAAAAACAGTCCTACCATCTGCAAGCTGAAGTAACAGTTTAAAATCCCTTTAACGGGATTTGATACTAAAGCCAATTCTTGGAAACCTGTAGCAATAAAGCTGAATGATTCCAAACTTCCAAGTGGTTCTAGGAAATTTAATTTTATAGAAAAAGCAGATGTTCATCTACTTCACCCGTTCCAGCAACTAAGAATGCCTGCCTAGCTTCATACTGAGACATTCTTTAACTACCAAGAAAACATATCAGCATCATCTGGAAGGCCTAAGAAAAACATCAGAATCTATGAAGAATGACAAAGTGGAAGCTGGTAAAAGGCAAAGCTGCACAATATACAAGATTGATCTGGCCAGTTCCCTTAAAGAAACAACCTTATAAGTAGTAACATGAAGCCCCTTTCTAAGAGGCCTACAAAGACACTGAGAAAGGTTGATCAGCATGTTTGTACCAGATGCTCCACTAGTACAAAGAATGCTGCCAACACAGGCCTGAGGAAGCCCTTGCCCATCCCCCTTCCTTTAATCCCATTAATCTTTTTATGATTGTCTGTGCTTGGCAGGAGAAGACCCTCCTTTAAAATCTAGGAAGGGACTAAATATGAGAGCTTGTCATTTCTCGTACCTCAAAATTATTCTGATGCCAAATACATACACCTGGAAGACCAACATCTGAGCCACAAGACTTTAGAGTAGGTTAAGTGGTGCAGCTGATGACGTCAAGCCCACTTTGATCCAAGACTTGGGTCTGACAGATTTGAAGTTCTTATCTCCTACTTGGAGAAGGCAGATTTTAGACCAGCCTGCTGCATAGCAGGATATTCTCACCAAAACTCTTATCTGATCCATTAGTCTTGAAAGACTGCTTCAGAAATCATATCAGTGATATCATTTTATTTCTGTTTTAAACACATGAATGCAATATCCAGATTCTCTCCAGCAGTTAAATCCATAGGTGCGTCTGCCTAAAACAATTTCTTCAAACTTGGTCCTCTTTCCTCCCTCTTTTTTTAAGCCACTTTACGGAAAATTGCCAGCACTGCTTTTGAAAGGAGTATATGCACACCTACTAGGGAAAATAAGGATGAATACAAAGTTGCCATCTGATGATGCACATACAGGGAAATAAGAATGGTCTCCCTGGACCTAGGAATTCAGAATCAGAAAAGGCAAAGACTCTTCAAACCCTGTTTCTGAATACTGAAACAGAAGAGTGTGTTTGCCCATACCATTCAACAGCTTTGTTTTCAGTGGTTCTTCAGATGAGTGAAAGTGGCACTATCAAATGAAAAATCTTTTTTTCCCTCATTTTCAATTAGTGTTAGTATGATAATGATCAAAACCTTTAGAAATACAAAGCCGAAGTCACCTGTTTCCTTCAGGAAGCATTAGTAGTAAAAAAATAAAATAAAATAAAAAATAAAAAAATTTAAATCCAAGCCCATACATTAAAACACATTGATAGAAAAAAAATGATGACGTAGGGATGAGGATTTTCAACATACACTGAGCACTGAAAAGTAAACTCCTGAGTCATTCATGTTCTATTTGGGGTCACAGCACATATTAGTTGAGATCTCTATGAGGGAAATAAACGCAAGCCTCGGTACGTTAGCTCTGTCAAACTGATTTTTCTTCCTTACTGGAGTAGCTTAAGAAGGTCACAAGTGCGAAAACATCAGGAGTAAGATTTTCCATTTTGTTGGCTCAAATGACAAAAACATAAACCACAATACAGTGTGTACAACTTCAGATTTCAAGGAAAACTTCAAGCTCAACAGCAGCTAGCAGCTTGTCTCTATTTGCCGTCACTCCAGATCAGAAGAGCTCACATGCTTTTTTTTTTTCCTTCTTCTTTTTTTTTTTTTTTTTTTTTTTTTTTTTTTTCCTTTCCTGCCCCTTTTCAGTTACACTTGAGCTCTTTGACTGAAAAGGTCTGGAACAGATTAAAAGTCCGACCACAAAATAAAGAGCCTTGGCATGTACTCAAGTCTGTCTGGGATACACATACACAGTGGGCCCAAAAAGGGAAGCTATGCAGCAAGAAACCCTTATGCAGTCTTTTGGATATTTCTAACTTCTTACAGTTTAACTGCACAGCACATTTGATGGAGTTTCAGTATGTACAAAACAGGTTCCTTTCACCCTTATGGTTAGGCTGTACCATCTACAGAACTGGAATATAGTTCTGAGAAGCAAGATCCATCTCATTCATGACTTTTGTCAATTAAAGTCTCTTCCCCTCACTCCTTTTTAATTCCAGCTGGTATGTCCGGCTCATTTGAAACTGCAACGTAATGCTAAGAAAAGCAAAATGCTTATCTTGCAAGACTACTTAAGTAAATATAACTGACCTGATCATTTTGAATGCAAAAGGCAACACCGATTTTCAAAGTGACTGCCTCCTTTTCAGCCTTATTCACATATCATGTAATTGTGAAGTTGCAAGTTACCCACACGCTCCTCTTGCAACACGCAAACAGGTCTGCAGCTCTGACTGCTGTTAAAGCCAACATGGACATTTGCCAAAGTTGACAACCTTCAATGTAAGCCCCACCTTTGGCTCAAGTTGCACAGTGGTTCAACCTGTCTACAAACTGGATAGCAGTTTATAAACAAAGTGTGACAATCCAGTGTTTACTCTAAGAGCAAAGGGATGTCTAATGTGAGCGCTGAAGCCTACAAAACAAAGGAGCTGAAGCTGCTAACAACCATTTCAGAAAAACAAAGACAAAAACAAAACAAAACAACCTAAAAACCAGAAAAGTGACTGTTGAGTTCTGCAGCTCTGTGTTTATATGGCATTCATGGAGTTAATGCCTCTCCCAAAAGGGGCCCACAGTTGTTGTTAGGTCAACCCTTGTAAAGCTTCAAAGGCTTTGTATCCCCTCAGCCTGACCTACTCAGTGATCTGCACACTGTTTTCATTTAGTTGCACTCAGTCCAAAACTAAAGCTTGAAAACCACAGTGATCTCTTTTTTTTTTTTTTTTTTTTTTCCCTCTCTCTTTTCTTTTTTTTAACCCCTACTATTTCTTCCATGTCTATGGAAAAATAACTAAAGTCCAAAAGAGATGAAAATAGTAAGCTATTGGAGAAACAAATTAAGAGAAAATTAATGCATTCAATAAAGCTTACATACAGAGGTCATGACTTTAAACAAAAACTGAAGTTGTAATGCTACCTTAAATACATCAGAATAACTACTTGGACTAAGAAACCAGCTTAGAGTTTATATGCTGCTGGTATTTCTATTCAGCAGTGCCAATATTTTATTGAAGTGCTTGCAGCTCTGCTTTTTCATACAGATCAAAAAATTGCAAAAAGTTGGTACCGGTTCTGCTTTGTTAAAAACTCACATCCAAACCTTGTGATCCCTAATTTCAGTTACTGTTTCTATTTTCAGTAAAAGCAGTCTAATTGAAATATTTGTTACCTTACAAAAAGAGGATTAAAGTAGAAACCACTCAACACTTCCTTCTTCATAGTTTAAAACAAAGTATCATCACGATCATCACTGTGACAAGCTGGAATTATAAGCTGGTGTATGTTTCAAGTGTATTTAGATAGAATGAATTATTATTTAACAATGTCCTTGTTAGGGTAGCACAAAGGAAAGTATTTATTTATTTGGGAATTAAAAATCTCTTCTGTTGCAAATATTTGCAAGTCTTTGGGAAGAATGAGCTTGGCTGAAACTGTGTTCACCCACTAAAAGGAACGTGTTTAGATAAATCATTTCTGAAGGCCACCAGTTTAGGAACTGTATGGATCATACGGCAAAATCCCAACCGCTAACATTAGAAACTTTGGTGACACATTCCTACAGGATGTATACTAATTCCTCTTTATGTTTCCTTTTAAAAAAAGGATTTAAATAAGGCCTACGTTTCAAATTAGAATACGTACTTCATATTATATTATAGTATAGTATATATACTGCACTATAAAGAGTTTTCAAACTATGACTGCAAAATTAAAGCTAAGTGAACTGAAGTGAATCAAAAACTCTGAAGTGAGATGAACTTTTACCAAAGCGTGGGTCAAGCCTTGGGTCTAGCCAAGATGTTGTCTTGTTCTTATGGTTTATGTAGTAAATTTCTCCATCCTGGGTCATAGCTTGTTCCCATCCATCGGGGAGTGGGCCTGCAATATAGAAGGAAGGAGTTCATGGTGGACTCTTGTTTGCTCCAGCTGAAATTGATCTACAAAAAATCCCAACATTTTACATATATAACAGTAAATGAAACAAAAAAGTTTCAGGTTTATGTCTAGCATTTCTAGGATAAGGACAAAGAAGTGGCGGGTGGAAAATCAAAGAACAAAAAGCACTTCTATCATCATTCTGATTTAGGATTTGGAGTTTTATCTTATAATTCATGTCTTTTTGTATGCTTCTGACACTTCCTTTTGCTATGACATTACAGTACAAAACCAGCAATAAGTCAAGCCTGCCAGAATGAAACCAGCACCAGAAAAAAAGAATAAGCACAGAGATATCCCACCTTGTGTGGGAAAGTTTATCTAGTGATTGAGAGCAGCAGCAGCAAGAACACAACAAGACTCTGAAGTACTATTTCTCTGACTTTTCACAAACAGTTAAGAATAAACAAATGAAAGTGACGAGCCTTAATTGCACTTCATACCGTAAGTTGTGATGACAGCGTAAGGCTTAAGCAAACAAAAACACAAGCCTGAAGAACAGGAGGCAAAAAAGCAACAAAATAGTAAAGGTAAGCACATCAGAAGCAGACAAGACAAAGTGCCAGGACCAGCAGTGCTATCTCTCTATGAGCAGGAAGGCACGCTCAGGGACACCTACATTTAGAAAATGGTGAAGGGTGAAGGGCAATACATCGTGGCAAAGTACTGGAGCCCAATGCTAATGTCTAAATACAGAGTGCTAAAGTGTTTCCATTACATTACAAAAGCAGCTTTGGAGAAAACAATCTTTTGCTCCTGTGCTGTTCAGAAACCACTCATTCCTGTCTCTATGTGATCATTCACCTCCATCTGTATTACACTTAGAATAAATAGCATTTTCTCAGCTACGTTCATCCCATTTTGTCAGGCAGGTGCTTTAAAAATACATGTTTTAGAATCAAAAAGATATGTACTTTAAAAATACCTGAATTAGAGGCAGGAAAATTTTGCCTGAGCTCCTTTACATTTAAATATGATCTTCAGATGACACAGCAAAAAGATTCATTACAAATGTTAAGAATGTAAAAGAAATCAGAACAGCATCTGTTCCGGGACACCATCATATTTCAGCCTGTCTTCTCACTTTTCCTCAGCATGATGTAACAACACACTACCAAAAGCCATCTGTCTGCCTGATTTAGACCTACAGACCATTCTGCACAACATAATGTTTGTGTTTATTTATGTCTTAAAATTTCACACACGAGATTCAAAGTACATACACCCAAAAATTAAAATAAATGCCTGGAATATCTACTACATCCATGTTCAAATTACATCAGCTCTTCGCCTGCCACATTGTTCTACACTCAAATTACTGCTGAAGATTTTCATTGCTTGAAGCGTTGGGGGGCAGGGACTAGATTTGTTTGGTTAATCTCAAAAGATGTTCCCGAAGGAATGTTTTAAAACAAAATAAATTAAAAGAGCAAAATCATCATTGCATTCCAGTAATACCCCAAGGCATAACAAGGACAAGAATTTCTTACTGTAGTCTTTGGCCCAAGAAATCCCCTGCATAATACATTTCTATCTCTAACTCTTTCATTTTGGCCCAGAATGCTATGCCTCTCTCTAGCACTCCACAATCGGAGCCCACAGGCTGTCAAGTGAGGAAAAACAGCGCCCTAGCCATTGAATATTCCCTGCCTGCCCCTCATGCTCACAAAGCTCTAAAGGCTGCGTACAAGTAACAGCGGTACCTCCGCTTTTAGGCCAGTAAGCAGAACAGCAAGAGTGACAACCCTGAAAAATTCATAAACCCTAACACATCCTCAGTATAGCAGGATCCTGGGCTAGGTTACCGTACTCACAAAGCAGCCAACTGCACCATCAGATGCTATTTCATAAAATACACAGGCACACAGTGACAGGCCACACATGATCCAAGTGCAGAAGCTGATGCAGGACCAACATTTTTTGCTGACCACTAAGCCCAACACCCTCGCCATGTGGGCAGACCTTCTCACTACCATTCTCCCTAGAGTCCTTCAAAGCCACAAACCCCTAGGAGATGAAACTCAGCAAGAAAATCTCTTTTGAAATGCAAAGCCAAAAAAAAAAAAAAAACAAAAAAACAGCTGGCTCTAGGAAAAACACAACTACCCTTGGGGTGTGGGTCCTGCTGAACACTGAGTGAAGTGTATTCTGGTCCTGCATGTTTCTCTGCAGCAAATAAGAATAAAATGCCTTTGAAGCCGGATGCCAGGAGCTGATCAGTCCACCTACCTTCTGGAAGAACACTGCTTATTAGATTCAATGATCTGATGACTAGTAGCTTCCCAGAAACCAATGCAGGCAAGGTTCTCTGTCTGCTGTAGGTCGCCCTGCTCACCTGGCTGCCACAGCAGCTACGTTTCCTCCTTGCTAAGTTCCACCAACTGCTGCAGAAATAGAATGTTTTTCCTAGAAAATTTTTGACATTAGGCACTATGCTGCTTTCTTCCCTAGCTGGTAATATGCTCCTATTTCTCTGCTGTTGTCGCTACGTGTTATAATGGTAAAACTACATGTTTCTGCTGTTGTTCCTACATGTTGAAAACTGATTAGTACCGCCTTCTGTAATTTGTTCAGTTTTGTGAGCAGTTATGATACCAAAGATTGTCAAGACAAGCTCAGCATTACAGGCAAGTAACAGAAGAAAAACGAAAAACCATGATGAAGAGTAGCAGACAGAACACAGCACACAGAACATCTAGGAAAATTCCTGCATCTCCATGTTTACTCAAAAGGCTCAACAGAAACAGAATTTCCAGCATTGCTCCAGTCCATGTTAGACAACAACAGCCATGCTGGGTGTAACCAGAAGTCTTTTTAGCACAGGCACCTGGTCTGAGTAGATGGACATTTACTGTTGCTCAGTGAATGAAAGCTGTTTGCTGTCTATCAGACTCTATAATTTCAATAAAGCACTAAATGCGTATACAGATCCAAAAAGTATAGAGGCTATAACTTGCTTGGCCTCCAGGTATCTCATGTGAGTTCTGAGGCAAAATCAGAATGGCTTTAGTTGAAGTGATCCAAGGATCAAGTCCCAACCCCACTGCCACAGGCAGGGCCACCGACTTCCAGATCTGGTACTAGACCAGGTTGCCCCGGGCCCTGTCCAACCTGCTCTTGAAGAGTCTGCCTATTTACTAGATGTCAAAGGGCCTCTTTTGCAAGTACTTTTCCAGTGTTTTGTTAAACCTTCATAAACATTTGGCATCCAATGGGAACCGGCTGAAAGAGTTGACTCTTCAGCTTGGCAAATAAAAAGCTCTGGGGGGACCTCAGGGATGGAGGGGGGAGGCTTTTAATAGTGGCTTTCCAGTGCCTTGAAAGGGACCTACAGGAAAGCTGGGGAGGGACATTTTATAAGGGCAGGCAGCGACAGGACAAGGGGAAATGGCCTTAAACTGGAAGAGAGTAGATTTAGACAAGATATTAGGAATAAGTTCTTTACTGTGAGGATGGCAAGACACTGGAACAGGTTGCCCAGAGAGGTTATGGATGTCCCTTCCCTGGGAGCATTCAAGGTTAGGCTGGATGGGGCTGTGAGCAACCTGGTCCAGTGGGAGGTGTCCCTGCCTACAGCAGGGCGGTTGGAACTAGATGATCTTAAAGGCCCCTTCCAACCCAAACCATTCTATGATATCCTTGTGGCATGGTATCCTTCCAGTTCTGTTTGATGCCTCCTTGGTCAACTGAATACAGCCACAAACTTACTTTCAGCTCTATTATGTTACTTGCAAAGGGAGAGACTAGCCTTTTAGTTCAACTCACCATTTATTGCCGTATTTTAAAAGAATGGTTATCCATAAATTAGATTCCAACATCCAAATGTAAGCCATCCTTAGAAAAACACTGATAAGGCATTCCTCTTTAACTAAATATTTATATATTGCTGTAACTTAACATAAGTACATGTAATTTTAAAAGTCTTTGTGCATGTCTCTGTTCAGCTCGCTTCTCCATTCTTGATTGCACTTTCTCAATTTACCATCATTGCCATAAAAATGCAGAACTCACTGCTGGCAGATAAAAAGCAACAGAAAGAATAACTAAAGCAAAAACATAATATAAATTCAACCTATACTGATATCACAAATAAACCTCACAAGTCCTTACAGTCTCTGATGTGCAGGTGTAAAATAAATGTAAATAAAACTGCATTTTAATCACAAGGTTAATGCATATTAGATAGCATCTCTAGCTATTAAAAAAAAAAGCTCACAGATGACAAAGGAACTGAAACACCAACAGCAAGAGTCACCATATGCAAACACTGACCTTCACAAACCTTCCTAATCTTCTTCTTTGAAGTCATGGCACCATTGCAATTATCAAACTTTTTAAAATAGTATCAAACTGTACAGAATTTACCAGGAGTCCAACTTTATTCTGTCAGCTCAGTACAGCTTACAAAAAGCTACTATTAAAAATGGTAAGGAAGACATGAAACATTCATGTCATGCAGACACTTTGAAACTTGAATTTCACAACAGACCATATGCAATGCTGAATATACACAAAGTAGAATTTGTAGTATGACTGGTTACACAGAATGGAAGCCCACAAAGCATGAAGCATGAAACCATGAGAAGAGCTAGTTTTAGTATTGCTACATTTCTCTCTACCCCCCGCAGTGGGAAAAAAAACAACCAACAACAACACAAACCACAAAGGCGACCTTAAGTTATGACTTTGAAAATTAATCTTCCTAACCAGTCTTAAACGTGGCACTGCAACCTAACTTCAAGAGTCCATGGAATAACAGGGGGTCTACAAACTTTCACCAGGAAAAGCAATGCACAGTTGCAGTGCAAGGGAAGACGAGGACAAAGACAGGTAATCTGCTCCAGATCCACTGATCTGCTGTCTGCATACAAGCAGAATAGGCTCAAGTAAGCAGCGCTGTTAAGCATGACTCAAGAAAATAAAAGTAACTGAAGAAGGGAAGTGTATAAATGCACTTTATTTTATTCAATTCATATCAACTATCATTATTATAAGAAACAAGCATTGTTTATAATCAGATGCATAACTTCACTTTAGTTGGAACTGTACATTTTTGTTAGCGTTTAATGTGAATCAAGACAGATTGAGTATCACTTTTCCTGCAGTATCTTTAAGGTAAAATGGTTAAAAAAACAGAAAATAATGAGAACATTCTAAACCAATTTCTATATATATCACACTGTTGGAAGAAACAAGCTTGTCTTCTTCCCATTATTACTATGAAAATGCAATCATATTTAGCAGAAGATTAAACAACAAATGTCATCTAAAAAAGCACTATACTTCTCCATACACACGGCACAAAACATTTTAGTAGATTGCACAATTTACTCGAGCAAGCCAGGTTCAGTAGAGCTGAGACAAAAACATACCAAAGAACCTAAAACAAAAACATTCTCCCATTCACACACTGATGCCTTGTGGTAGAGGATGTACGCTTACTAATACTCCTCAAGCAGTCCATCCACAAAGTGAAAAAAAACCCTAAAAATCTCCATCTCATGCTAATCCACATCTTCCCTGTGCCAGTTTCGATTTCAAACACTGCTGACCTGCCTTCGTCCTTACCACAAATCTGTTTTCTCTCCTACTTCCTGAGCTCCATCTACCCTTCTCATCCATAAAACCCAACAGGTTTACCTTCAGTATGCAGACAACAGATCTCCAAGTTCTGTTCTATCCCTCCTTCTCAGTTTGTTTTCCTGTTCTTAATTCTAGCGAATATACCCTTCCAGTGACTCTCATGGCATTTCCTAAAATCCCCTGCTTTCAGATTTCACCACAGCAACCTTACTTGCAGGCTACTCCAGCATTCTGCAATTCAATACACTAAAGATTGGTCTGTAGCTTCTGATGAAGGGCTACAATTCACGAGCACCACACAAGGATGCACAGAAAGAAAAACATTCACTTGTGGACATTTTTTTTTGTAAGTCAGCGACCTCCAGCTGTCCCAGGACTTACTCTTGCTTCTCCCAATCTCTCTCATGAAAGGCTCTCTCAGCAGTAGGGCACGTTTCACTGCCAGCAGTACTTCAGAACAGGAAAATTCTGACTCGAAGAGGTCTCAACCTTATTTCCCAGTTCTTGAGGCCAAACTGCCAAATTAGAACATTAAGGAGCCCTATGTCTATATGACGCTGTCAGATTTAAATTCCACTGAGCTGAGTGGGTAGTTACTTGATTTTTCCATTTTTCTCATTCTTTATGAGGCCATCAAGCAAGCACAAACCACCATAAACTCAGTAGTACACAGTGACAAAACCAAGTATAAGCAGCTTCAGTAGAAACAAATATACAGTTAAAGACTGTACATGAGGATTTACCAAATAAGGTATCAGAAATGGAATCATACAATAAATACGAGTTCAATATTCTTTAATTCAAAACACTTGTTAAACACAATCAAGTTAAGCATTAGTGGGTGCACCCCCAAGAGCCAGTTCCAAATAACATTACCTCAGCTTAACAAGTACCCATGGAATCCCATTGCTAGAGTAACAAAATACAGGAGTTTCACTTGCTCACACACTTGCATCAATTACTTTTAATTTCTTGATTTTCTTTTTCAAATAGCCCTTCATTACTGACTACTAGATTTACTTTACAAAGATTCTTCCCTCTTAAAACAAACTATTTACTTTTTTTTTTTGCTAAGAATCTTTCTTTTTTTTAATAAGTATACACAGCACATCCGACTTCACTATCAACACTGTTTTTCTGCTAATACTACAATACAAGGGAAGGTTTGAGGAGTCATCTTAAAATACAGAATTTATGTCTGTAATAGACTGGCATATTCAAATAGACTAGTATCTACTTTATGTATAAATAAAATAAACCAAAGGCAAGACAGACCAGGAGAGCTGTTTCCTTTCTCCTATTTTCTGTTCTTCTGATGTGTCCCTACAAAAGCATATCATTCTCTTTAGCTACAGAAAAGAACAATAATCAGAGATTGTATTTTCACATTAGACATTGAGAGCTTAATTGTTCTGAATCATGACTTTCTGAATCTGAACTGAACTCTTTCATTTGTGCCGGGATAATCCAACCTCCTGGCCTTGCCAGCAAAAAGTTTGATCAGCTTCCATCTAACACCCAGTCATGAACAGCACAGTTTGGTCATGCCTGTTAATCTTTTGGTATTGTCTACAGCGTATGAATTGCAGCATGAAACAAAGCTGTCTAAACGGACAACAAAAAGCAGCACCAGAGAATAACTTTTAAGAAAAGCAGACATACACATGAAAAATCAGACTGAAAAAAATGAATAACATGTCAACCTCAGTGACGAGACAGCGACAAAGCATAGAGAAGAGTGCAGCAGTAAAAACAGCATCTGCTTGCTCTCTGCACCATTAGGACAACAAAGCTATGTAAACATGTAGCAAATTTTATAGTAAGAATAAGCATACCGTCCTGCTGTCTAGTAACAGATTCCCTTAGATCAGCTGAAAAACTATTCTATGTTCTAGGAAAAGACATCTGATTTCCTCAGCTGAAGAAATAATAATCAGCATACATTGTTTTGGAAATGATTGGAAAAGAAGAAAAAACAACTTTACTTCTAAACAAGACTTTCCAGGTGTTTGCTTTACTTGTTAAGTGAAGATGTCCATAACCAACGTGGGAATTATAAACGAATGGCAACACGCTTAGCATAATAAGTGAGCAAGGGAAGGCAAAACAAAACATAAAAACCAAACATTGCAGAAGCTCTAGCTTTGAAGCAAAATGGCAATAATTTAATGAAAATTCTTTTAATCAGTTTAACGGCATTTTCAGTCAGAAGAAACAGAGGCAGGAATTTTGTTTCTTCAAATGTTTGGATCATCCACTTGAAAAAAAAAATAAAACACAGACCCAAAACTTACAGCATGCTTTTTGCTGGCAAACATTACATTCTCTCACCTCAATTGATGCTTGCTGCATCAAGATGCTTGATGCATCATTCTTCACAAATTTAAAGTTTAAAAATAAACAGACAACTGTGAGATTTCAACTCCTCTGCCCCCCACAACATCTTCTTGATTAAAATAGCTAGCAGTATCTTCATTTGTATGACCTTCTGCACAAAAACAGTTTTTGCTTACCTGATGCTGAGTTCATTAAGTTCTGTTGCACGGGAGGACTGGTGGGAGCTGTAACATTCATCTGGGAAAGCATGGCCTTCCTGGGATCTTGCCATGTTGTTGTTTGATCAATATGACTACAGAAACAAAGCAAGAGTTAGGACAGTCATGCGTTCACAATAATGACCTGCTAGCACAGAAAGTTTAACAACAAAAGGTTAAGCATGACAACAAGAGCCACATTCAAAACCAAACAAGAGTTTTTTGGATTCTGTCCAAGCATTACTATACCTCATATTCTCAAATACTTTACTCTGGTCACCATCATTTTCCCACCAAAGAGCTGCAGTGATTAGAGCTAGAGCAATGGAGAGATACAGCTCAGCATGAGTACTGGAAGCTAGACTGTTGTCCCATAATATATGCATGAATTAAACATTCTCTTCCTTTCCTTGCTGATTAGTTACTTGTCAGTTTTCAATGCAACTTGAGTGTCTTTCAAACCCAGCCAGTTATGCCTGGAATCTCAAGCACAGTCAAGTAGTTTGGCATGACGAGTTCATGCTCAGTGCCTGGGGAGCTGTAATGAACAGGCTGGTGAGTAATCATTAGTCTTCCCCAACATAGCCTACATTCTCAGGTTATTTGATGGAGTACTCCCCCCATCCCTGAGAACTGAACATCTGTGGTAACTTAAGTAACCAGCTGCACAAGAGTAGTAACAAAAAAAAAGCAACTGATGTTCAGCTGCTTTTCTATTTCATACTAGAAGATGAGGACAGTTGGATTGTCAAGTAACTCAGTGAGCCCTCTCTAAAAGATAATCACAAAACTTCAGGAGCTTTGATGTATCTGTTTTGAAAAGAAAAACCAAAACCCTGGAAAATACCTTCACTGTCATTCACAAAACTATTTAAGTCAATGAAAACACAAATGTAATGAATGATTACTTCATCTTCTGAGTATGCGATTAGCGTGCTTTGCCAATCTAATGAATAACAAATGCACGCTATTCACGAACAAGCATCATAGTATCTTGATGCCATTAATTAAGATTGCTCTGAAAAGCTCACATGGACAAAAATAAAAACCACTAACATGCAGTAAGCTTTGACGGTATCAATTCAAGCTCATACTAAAATAGTTTGATTAACAATTAGAATCCAACACATCACTAACTTGATACCACTCTTTCATCATACTGAACACTCTTAAAGTTACTTCTTTCTGGATTAGTAGAATGCCCAGTTTCAATTTCTCCAATGAAAGTTCTACATTTAAAGTTGCACTGCAGATTGCACTGTGATCCAATTTCAAACCTCGGTACTCAATTCACACGCTTAATTTGTACCAATGTTTTGCATCGTTTTGTACTTTTTTCATGCCTCAGTATGTGTACAGAACCATCAACTAGAGAGTACATTTTCCATCTTTATACTGGGATTTAAACAGTAACTGTGCAGAAACTCTTCCAGCTCACAGCTGATAGAACTTTCAGGTATACTCAAGTTTAGGAGATGGTGCTGTATTTAGACATGCTAAAGGGGCAGATAATTCAAATTTGCTCACTTCAACACTTACATCGATGAAAACACCAACATCTGGCCTTGCCACCCTGCTCTCCACTAACTAGAATGGAACATATGAGAGCACTGTTAGGATGCAATTCATTTGAGAAATTTAAGGAGGTGAATCACACCTATATTCTGCGTTGCAAAGGAAGCCTAGGGTAAGTGGGTTAAATACACTGACACTGAGGTTTCACTGAGGTGGTGAATCCCAAACTTTGTTTGTGTGTTTGCATGACCACAGCATCGCAGAGTTAAGTCATATGTTAAGGCCTCATCACAGGTAAAACTGGACATACAAAACAGAACATTATCTTCTCCTTGCTGTAAGCAATTAGCTACTATGACAAGAAACTACTAAGGAACCCTTTAATTCCAACTAACAAAAACGTGCTCCATCAATTTAGCAAGAGTTTTTAACATGTTCTTTGGTACTCAAAAATATTGCTTTTTTGTTTGTTTGTTCTTAAACACCAAACACTAAGCTGTGTATGTGAGTATTAGGCATTTTCACTTGATTAAAATGAAGAAAGTAGAATTTCAAATGATCATAAAATGGCTCATAGTCACTCAAACAATTACCTCCACGCAATTATTTATCACATTGGAACAGGAAGTCTCCTGAGCAGAAACTAGACGGTATCGCAAAGTGACTTGGACTAAGAAGTTTTATCTTAAGCCTTTTCCTCTTTCCTTGCATTCTACCCTCTTTGAACATACACAAAATTTCAGTCCAAAAGAGTTGTAGACATATTCCAAGAGGCACAAAATAGGAAGGAATGCTTTTTCTACCAGAATGCAATAGTAAACAAAGCCTTACTCTGTGTGGCAAGTACTGCCTTGCATACAGGAAGCCACCCTGTTACAATAGGTTCAATTAAAATGGTGTCACTGCCACATTAGTTTCCATGGCACACAATCATTACAGGTACTATTAGACATACTGTGCCTTTGCTTCCATATGTTTTTCAACATTCAGCTTAATGAAGAAGCAGGCCACATGCAGCAAGGCCTCCTTAATTTTTCTTTTAACCTACTTATTTACAGAACAAGGAAAAGCACAGTAAAGACTGCCATACATATACACCAGATCTTAATATGAAAAAGCAGTTTTCATTTTTTTGACGGTCAATTCTACAAGGCAATGAAAACAGGGAAAGATAATACAGACATAAGAACACAGGTAATGTTTCACAGACAGTGTGTTTAAGTTACAGCATCAGCATGCGCCACTTCTCCTCTCTATTTCAAATTTGATATATTCGCTCAGCTCCATTCTGGGAACAGTGGAAACTGGGAAACCACCACTGTGCCCATGATTACACATTCTTTTGTTTCCATTTAACTCCTATGAAAATATTTGTAACACTATATGCTTATAAAGCAGATACCTATGGTACATATTCTATAGTCTTTGTTTTTATACACTCAAAGAGTGTAGAGTATAAAAAAAGAAGGAAAAAAATCGTCTTACTGCATTACAAAACCATTTGCACAGTTGCTACAGGAACACATGGAAGCAACAGTCACCATCTTCTTCAAACATAACTGAGTAAGGAACAGACAAAGGAAGAAGCAATTTAGAAGTACTGCCAATTAGAGCACAGGGACAGCATTATCTGCTGCTTAATTACACGAGGCAAAGTAGTGCTCAGATGGAGTTGTTAATGTGGTCGGCTAGTTCAGACAGCAGCAGCTTCCAGCTTTGGCCTAGCTGGATATCCCTCAAGAAGTCAGCCAACAGAACTTCAACCAGCCTTCTTAGAAAAGAGCCACAAAAGAAAGGCCTCAAAGTAATCAAGTTGATTATGTTAAAATCACAGCAATCCCTAGGTTGGCTCATTAAGGCAACGTTGTCCCATCCCACACAGTTTTCTGCTTCCTGACCTACATACGCCTTTCCCTAACGTCTTCATTCAAAACCTGTCTCTTCAACTGCCTCCAAACCACAGTCCTCCCACATACCCCACCTCTCTATACAATGTCCTGAGTTTCTGAATACTATATGGTAAAAAACTCCCCTAACACATCACAGCATATCAGTTCTCCTCCACAAGTTCCAAATCGTGCTGACCAACTGGAGGAACGCAGAGCAGACTAATATTCATTAACATGGGTAAAATATTTAAGTAAATCTTAGCACGATGGTAAGGAATACAGGTCTATATTTTGGTGCAGCACATGCACCAAGGCAACTTAGTATAAGCATCATGTATTTCTCATAACCAAGCACGGAAACAGAATGTTCTCTGCGGGTAAAGATCTTTCCCTCTGTTTTGAACATCAGCACAGAAAAGGCTGAAAGAACTCTGACACCAGCACTGTGTTCTCTCTACCTGCACCAAACAGATTTTTTCCATAGTAGCTTCACTGCATGCCTGCTGCCCCCATCCTTACATTCAGTACCATCACCTGAGCCACATTTTGCTGAAGTATCACTGTCAAATTCAAAAAAACCTTCATATATTAGTGACATATCAAATCCAGTGAAATCCATGACCCAGCCAATACACAGCACTATCAAAATTAAAACTCTTCATGAAGTAAAATCACAGCTCTGGATTCTGTGCAAAAAATAGACCAAATAAACCATCTCAGAATTAAAGCCAATCTCTAGTATAATCAAGGAACGTAAGGCATTTTACTTCACAGGATAAAGACTCAAATCCAGCATCTTGATACTTATCTGTAATTGTCAGGTCTGGTGTCAAGACGAACAACTGTTCTATGGAACACTCTCAGTCACCCTCCACTAAGAAGCACTCCCAAAGCACCATGGCATGCAAGGAGGACAAAGGACAAAGCTGCTACCATCACCTCCTATCAATTTCCAAAGTCATACAAATCACTTACCTCTTGACATGAACAGCTTTTAATAAAAGGTTCTCATTTTATAAATACAAAGAGCATTTCTACACTCACTAAGAACTGGAATTTCTAAGTGAAATAAATCCTTTTTGGTATTAGACATTATCACACACCAGAAAGATTCTTCAGATTCAATTTATATCCTAATTTTGAAGTGTTGGGCGTTTTTATTTGCTTTTAAATCGTAAGGGAAAAGAAGCAGGAGATCTTAAAACAATTAAAATATATATATGCCAAGCTTCATTGAAAATAATCTTTAGGTGTTAACAGATTGATAAAATAAAACCATTCCTAAAAACAGAGAACTGATCTGCCTTGCTCTGGGTGTGATGCACCTTCCCATTTGTCCTCCAGTTGCTTCACTGATGAGACGTATTGAAAGCCACATCAGAAATGAATTAGCACAAAAAGGATGCTAAAAAATTTACTTTAATCCTTCAGTTAAAGGCTTCATTCATTAGGAACTATGTATCCATTCCAATCCAGGAATTACATGCAAACATACAGTTGTCAACTATAAATACTAATTCTGATATTCTGTATTGTTGCAATTAGAGTCCCTGTTGCTCAACATACGTTTCTTAAGGTACTCCATTCTTTTAATACAATTCTCAGTCATGACAAAGCCATGATTCTTCGCTTACTCTTTTTTTGCCCTTATCTGCATATCTGCTATCATTCACAGGGATACTTCAGGGAGA